ACAATTGTCTATTCGTTTGCAAATCTATCAGAGAGTATATCAGCGAAGGAGTCGATGTTGTGGTGGTCTAGGGATGGGACCAGCATTTGCTACACAACTATCGACAACTCGGGTGTGGGGGACAACACCATCGCCTACTACGGCAGTCTCAACAACGAAAGCGATAGCAATTCACTCAAATATGTTAGATATAAATACCCTAAAGTGAGTCCATAATAAACCATAGAACTCATATAATGCTAACTCGTATGAGTAAAAGCAATTAAAATAAGTGCACATAAAACAACTAAAAACGAAAACACTATTAAAATAGTTTTAAAAAACTTAATGTTTCTATATTCATGTGACACTAATTGAAAGGCTCATCAAATTATACCGAAGACTTCGTTATGGGTTTTTAATTTCAACACAACTCTCGTAAAGCAAATAATACCACCAAAAGGATTATTAAACAAAGATTTTTATGTCACTTTCGTTAATTGGATTAAAGATGATTCACTAACTGTTGTCTGGACTCTGAGAGATCAAAACAATTCAGTCGTCAGTACGTGTGATAAGAGTGATGACTGGGTGTGCAAAGAGGTATCACTTTATAATCATTTGTATAACCATTTCTGTAATAACTTTAAGTGCTTTGACTCTAAAATACATTATCGGGCCGTTAGTGACAATTGAAATAAAAATTTCCCCTCAATTCCCACTACTTTTTTTAGATCATTAAGGCCTCGAGTGCTTTAAGTTTGAAAAAGTTATCGCAAAGTATACTACAATCGGATGACGGGCTCACGTATTTCATCATTTGCCTCAGACCTGACTCACTCATTGGCAGCTATTATCACATCAATTCATTTAGACTCGATGTGAGTAATGCTCCCGCACCATTTCACCATGGTGCGAAAAACCATTTTACGCACAATTTATTTTGTAATTAGCTAAACAAACGCGAAAAAGTCATACAGTCTGTACACCCCTTAACTCGATATCAGAATATTCTTTAAAGAATATCTTTTTTCAACCCAATAATCAATGCTTACTTGTTAGTATATAACTCATATATGCTGTAGAATCAAGTTTTATAAATTATAATTTTAGTATTTATCACTTTATGAAAAATATCGTCACTTATGTTTTAGGAGAAATATGTGGAGACATTCATAACGTACGGACACTACGACGTGACAAAACTGTTATTTGTCGGAAAATCAATTATATATTTCACAGCAAAACAATCGATAGTCGGTGTCGAGAGGCAACACATCTATAGGGTTGACATACAGACCGACGGCGCCGTCCAATGCATTACTTGTCACTTGAATTTCACGGAATGTCAGTACTTTGAGGCCGTCTTCAGCCTAACCGCCGATTACTATATCCTTGAGTGTCTGGGCCCAGACGTACCCAAAGTGTATTTACTTAAATCAGACCAACACAATAGCCGTAAAGATATTTATTTTATTATTATATAAGATATTTGCTATTTATTAGCTTGCTATTCATTAATACAACTTTCTATTTGATGATAGCGTTTGTATTGGATGTGAACAAAGAACTGGATAACAAATTGCACCACAAATTACAACTCCAGCATCAAATATTTACTGTTATTTCTCAAAATAAAAGTTAGTTTGCCTTTTATTTTCTATAAATACTATTTTTTCTCTATTCATTCACTCGAATCACAATTAAGTGATATATAAAAGCATTTAATGGCGAATAAAAGATTAGATAAAAAGTAGCGCTCAAACTATTCACATATAAATTGTTTTTCATTTATAATCATTAGTTGTCTCGTCATTATTCGCCAAATAATAACTCGACGTTTTGTGTCCAATACTTGTTTGTCTTTCATTATTTAACTCTTATTACATGAGACATCACTAATAATACGACAAATCATTATTTTAACAAAAATAATATAAATATTATAGATATTCAATGATTGACCAAAAAATATATATTAAGATTTCATGTCATTTAGTCATTCAAAAGGTTAGCAAATATTTGAATTCAATAAAAGCCAGACAAACATTAGCACAAAAATAAAGTTAGACTCTCAGACCAAACAGATAGACAACATAAACCTCTTTTAACTTATATCCTAAGATTGTATTAAAGAATTAATGTTAGTATTGATTGTGTTATAAATTATATGTTTATCTTAAGGACTGTGGAAATGAATCCGAAAATAATTGAAATACAAGTTTGGCCACAAATGTGGTTAGAAATAAATAGCACTTTTGCATGATATTTATTACACAGTATATCACATAATTCTGTAATTCTGTAAATGAAAGCACTATTAAATGAAACCCTTATCGTATAATTTGGACCCAAAATATAGAGATTTATATCAAACTCTTATTACCCAATGGTTTCGACGACGAAGTGGTCGACAAATATCCGCTTATAATTGAAGCGTAAGATTCAAAATAAATATAAAACACATATATATAATCAATTAAAGCATCAAATGCATCAATTGCTTATTGTCTCTCATCCGGAATATCTGCAGAAATAATCCGGAGACCGGAGTCTTAAGCGACAGATTCTCGATAGGATGGGCCCATTATCTCGTGTCAAAGCATCAGTACATTTATGGATGGGTTGAAAGAGATAATGAAGACGTGAGACACAAAGAGACCAAAAGGAATTACGATGTCGTCAACGATAATATCGATAAATACGGAATTGCTATCAATTATATTAAAGACAACAAACGCTTCATAAACCCCAAGAAGGTCTGCATTTGGGGCCAAAGTGTGGCCGCGTTTGTGGCCGTCTCCACACTCGCCACCAATGAGGGGCTTATGTGTGCCGTATTGGTGTCCCCGGTCATCAACTGGAGATTAATGGGTATTCAATAATTGAACACTTTTTGGACAAAAATCAATAACTTTAGCCTGACTTTAACCATAAGATGCGGTCACTTATGAGCACATGTTTAATACGGGTGACTCGTATGACACGTACGCCTTGTTTGATGGCTTCAATTTCATCAATAAGATCCGAAAACTAGTCGCCAAACACTTGTTAATAATTCACGGCTCGGCTGACGGTAACTATATATTATAACATTATAGGAGTAAAACAAGTGTTTCTAATGCCTTTCCTCTATAGAAAAAGTGCCGATTCAACACTCGATGCAATTAATTAGACAATTAGTTAGTGAATATTCAAAGTGTGGCGACTATTTGCCGGAACCACTCCTACAAACACAGATATATCCCGACGAAGACAACACATTGCTGTCAATAAGACAACATTTCTATCATAGGATTCAACTATTTTTAGACCAAACATTCATTCATATCCATCGGACACATGATATCAAAAGCACTTAAAACACATTTAGACCTTAAGATTAAAGCAATCAATCGATTCTTTATAAGAATTGTTAAACAATTTTAACTTAATTTTGTAAAAAATAAATCTCTTTTTAATAACAATTAGTAAAACAAAATATAGATTTAAACAATAAAACATATCAATTAATGCATAATTCTTGGCAACACTTTAAGTACTGTTAAAAATTTATAGTTTATTTACCCCTTAAGTCGCAAATAATATAATTCAAACCATAATTAAACATTGAAAATAAACTCAAAGCAAACTATTTTGTAAATTAGATGTAAATTTGTTTATACTTTCACACTGTGTATATACGGTATATTAAATTAGAATAAAATCTAAAAACATTTTAAACAAAAAGATATCTACAAAATCATTGATAAGGATATGAATTCATCAGATATTTTCAGATAAAATCTTAAAACAACTCTTTGTCAACACTTATTTGAGAATAAAATCTATTGTAAAACACAACACAACACATGCTTTAGTGATCGAGAATACGGAGATTTCCCGATACTATCTTTGACTCGAGTATAGCGCCCGACGGGATGTCGATGCGGTCGCCATGGTTTGCGATTATGATAACAGTTCCTATAAAACGATCAAAAACCCATAATTAACACCAAAAACCAAATAAATCATCAAAAATAGCAATACCCTTGAGAGTGACCCCTTTCCCAAAGGTGACGTCCCCGCTCACAGTCAAGTGGTCAAGCTCTATGATATCGGGAATACTGGCGAATCGGGACAAGTAGTCTCTGACTTTTGAGAAGTTCGAGTCACCCAACTTGACTAAAGGCACGGTAGGGAACGCCCGTTTCGGGTTCATAATGAGACTGCCACTGTTGAGCGAATACAGGTTCGACATGACCAGCAACAGGTCCGATGTCTTCTTGACGGGCAAGAAACGACTGCGCGGAACGTTTATACCAATGGCGCCCTCGAAGTCCTTCATGGCTGAGCCCACAGCGGTCTCTAACTGAATCACGTCTAAGCCGTTATCCAAATGCTTATTATTGATGATAATCTCCATATCGAGTCCACCCATTTGCACCAATTGGTCAATGGCCTCCAATTTGATCCACAAGTTGTTTGTGTTGAATATCTTGAACTTTTGGACACTTTTGAACTCATCGACGTGCACTTTAGGCACCTGTGCTATTTCCAACAGTCTCACGTGACCCTCGTAATTAATAAGAGTACCGCCCTTCACGTCGGCCACTGTCTTGTCGGTCACTTCCATTACATACGACGGATGGTTAGACTCGTTGGGGTCGAGCAATGAGTTCAATATATTCAGGTCTACCGTTGCGCCCAAATTGTCGATATTTGACAAAAACACATACTTTCGGCCTATTTATTGATTCAATAGAAAAACAATTTGAAAAACACACTCAACAACTGCCACAACAAACCCAAACCCAAACCCAAACCATACCTTCATTTATGAAATACTCCAATAGCCCGGACTTGTGGAAGGAGGGGTAGAAGTCCCCGTGACCGGGTGGGTACCAGGCATCGGCGTCGTTGCTTAGGGAGTGAGCGATAGGCATCAGACTCTCCTTATTGATGCGCGGGTATCGGCTTTGCATAAACGTGTAGATCTTCACTCGGAAGCCCCGGTATTTTCTCAACAGTTTCTGCGTGTCTTCATCCGTATTGAATGAGTTCATCAGTACAAGAGGCACATCGGCGTCATACGTCTTGTTCAGGTGCTCTATCTGTTGCACAGTTAGATCCAAGAATGTCAGATCGTTTCGCACCGGTATCACCGATTTGGGACCCGTACAGCCCATAGATGTACCTATCAATCAAATGCAGCATTTATTAATACAAAATGGCACAACAAATCATAAGCAATACATACCGAGACCACCGTTAAGCTTAACCACAACCAACTGATTCAGCATTTGTCTGATGGCATCCTTTTGGGGCGACTTAAGGGCCCCATAGCTCCGGACGGCGTCTTCAGGCAGAGGCTCGATCTTCTCCCACTGGACAGAGGGTCCGACGCCCTGAAGGTATTTCATATACAACTGTTGAAAGCCTTTGAACTCGAGTTCGCAAATGGATTTCTCATTGCTGTTAGCGTTGGCCGTTCGCAACAATTTGTCCAACTCTTGGGCCAACTGGTGCTGAGCGTCCCGTTTGGTGAGCTCTTTGAACTCAGTGGTTGAGCTCACTTTGCGCTGATGGCGAGTCTGGTTGCCAACGGCTAACGGCGCTCCGTTTGTCGACTCGTTTGTCATCCTATTAATCGCCTATTATTTTCATAATTCAATTAAATTATCGCATAAATAGTGTTAAAAAGTTTTTGCAAAACAAAACTATTTTTAAACGCTATGTAAACCGCGTACTAACCGTCCATTTCGAGTCGTTAAGGGTTGTGAAAACATTTTGCGGCATTTTTACAAATTTTTTAATTAATAATAATTTGACAAAAAATACGAAAGTGTTCAATAGTTATGCTCAATATCTAATGAAAGTATAATAGTCTCGAGTGATTCCTAATACCAATTCAATTGAAAGGAATGGCATTCACGTATCATTTGAGCCAATCCTCGCAATATTACATCAAACTTTTGAACTTAGATATCGAGACTTCATAAAAAACTTCATTTATTTCAAGATATCACATGTAATCACTAGATTTAAGTCACTTTTTATGTGATTGAGATTCGAGTCTCAAGAACTGATAACACTGTCTATTTTAACTGAAACTTGAGTTTAATTTTTTAAACAAAAATAAATTGTTTTAATCAAAATTGCAACTCATATTATATCTAAAAATTTTAAAAACAAAAGTTATTTTCCATAAGTTTGCCAGTAATTATTTAATATACCATATTTGCAACTACGGATCAAAAGTCATTTAATATCAAAGTCTACACGAATATGTAAATTAAGTCAATTAACTATTATTATATAAAAGTAGTATTTTTATAACTCAACTCTTATTTCACATTTTTATTCAATTAAAAATAATATTATCAAAAACTATTATAATTTAATGAACAAATTATTGATTTATATCCACAAATTAAATATATCAGCTAAAATTAATTTTTTAACAAGCTATTTATAGTTTGTATGAAAATCATTATAAAGTCAATTTAAAAAGTGCTTTTGATATCACATAATAATCCTGCAATGAATGAATGCAGTTATTTGATAACTTATTGACAACAAATTTGTGACAATTCATTGACTTTCAAATTCAATGGAATTATTTGCGGAAAAATTAGTTTTGCTTTCGATTACAACTAAAATCAAAGACAAACAAAATCTCAACAATTTTTTCCATTCATTTGTGTA